CAGTAGCTCTTTGGGCCAGACCACAGGACCGAGAACGCATTTGCACCTGCTGAGGCCGGCGACCAAAGCTCAGAGAAATACTCGGGTAAGAGTGCATTGTGCTCGCTCGCGAATCGGTCCACGTGCAGTGGGCCGAATTCTGCTCTAATGCTCTCAAAGACTGCAGGCTGCAGACCAAAATCGTCGACGTCCACGAGCTTCGAAAGCTTGTCTGCCAACTGATTCTGCTCGCGGGGTACCCACTCAGGGCTGAGCTCTATCTGAAGAGTGCGACAGAGGCGAAAGATCCTGAGGCAGATTTGATGCAAATGAGGAGCACGCGAGCCACCCTTTGTCAGCAGCCAGAAAACGTTCAGGGCATCTCCCCGAGCAGTCACACGATGCCCCTTCAAAAGATGGCCAACCGACTGAAGCAAGCGAAAGAGGCCCTCGAGTTCACGCCACGTGGATGACTTCTGGCCGTGGACTTCGCTAGGGGCCCAGAATCCGTGAGCCTGGTGATGAACGGCGTTAAGGGTGAGATGACCGCCCCAGCCGTCACCCCCAGCATCGTACTGCAGGATGTGGACCAAAGAAGAGGGCCTCCAGATCGGTCGAGACGAGAAGTCCGAAAGAGAGTGCTGCCAGAACTGAAGCTCAAACCGGGCATCGTCGTCTAACGTAATGAAGCTACGCCAAGAAGACCGAGAATCGAGCGCTCTGTGCAAGAACCTAGTGAAAAGACCGGCAACTGGTCCTGTGACGAAGCTCATAGAAACGACTAAACCAGTCACTCTAGCTAGAACTTTAGCTGGGATGCGAGAAGAGGCGAGGCAACTAGAAATTGCTGAAGCGAGCTTAGCCTTGGCAGTTGCAGACAGATGGAATTTGCCGTGAAGCGTGTCTACTACGAAGCCCAAAAACTTGACTACGTGAGACCTCTGCAACTGACACTTCTCTTTCGACAACACGAAACCTGCTTTTGCAAAATCAGCTAGAACCTGAGCTTGGACAGAGGTAAACTCCTGAGCTGAGCTGGCTGCGAAGAAGAAGTCGTCAATGTAAGGAATGAGCCGGATCCCAAGCTTGCGCCAACGCTGAACTAATTGCTTGATCAGCTTTGTAAAGACGTAGCACGCGGTGGCTAAACCAAATGGAAGCTGGCAAAACACGTAGTACTTGCCTTGCCACTCGAACCCTAGGAACTGCCAAAACTCTGGGTGGATATCTACGTGGTGGTATCCAGACTTAAGGTCGACTGTAAAGAGAAAATCTCCAAGCTTGCAAAGATTCGAGACCTCCTTGATGGATTCGTACTTGAACTTGTCGACTTTCAGAAAGCTATTGACGTAACGCAAGTCTAAAATGAGACGTAGTTTGTCTAGACCCTTTGGGACTACCCCTAGAGGACTGACTATGAAAGGTTTTTGAGAGACCTCCATAGCAGCACCAGTCGCAATCAGAGACGCTACAGCATCCGAGACGAATTGAGGAAATTGGGAGGCAGAAGGGTGATTCGACTGAGCATAAGGGCCAGGAGGAGAACCATTGGCCCAGGGGAGCTGGTACCCAGTCGTGATGAGCGAGATGACGAAGACAGACGTGCAGAAAGTCTTCCAGAAGTTGGCCTGATCGCGAAGACGATTACGTAGCCAAGGTTCAGACTTGGACTTGTCAGCAGGCGCAGCAGCAGCAGGCTTGGAGGAAGCAGATGGCCTAGGGCCTTCGAACTCGGCAGAATCAGTGAGCTCGGACAGCAGGTCCAGAGACTCATGAACAGCAGTAGGATCAGCTGTAAACAAATAAGAAACCAGGCGTTAGTCACTTCGCAGAAGAAAAAACGTAGGGGGATCAGCGATCGCTTAGGATACACCAACTCTACTGGCGAAAATAAATGATTTCACCAGACATCTCAGCAAGATCATCACGTCCCTTGAAACCAGAAGCTCTGGTTCGACCTATCGCCCGTGCAGGGAGAAGGTAGGAATCTTAAGTCGTCAGCAAAGAAGCTCTTTGCGAATCAGCCTAGCAGGCTGCAAGAATACACCAAATGCTACAGCCTGGCAGGCTGCAAGCAATGAGAGCACATTTCAACAGAAGTGGATCAGAGGCCCATTATGGGCATGAATGCCAAACCTGGTTGGCAACCAGAGCTTCTATCATCTCCACTTAGATTGCAAACTTAGAAGAGTTCGAAGCACTTCGAGCGGAAGTGGATCAGTTCGGGGAAGAATTGGACAAGCGGCTGCCAAGATGCACCTGGCAGCCAGCTGTTTTTGCTCATTTCCACTGAAATAATTTTTGCGTGCTGCAAACAAGATCAACGTTCAGTTGAATTACTTTGAAGTAAATGGTCCTCGAGCTCTTTAGCAACGAGCTGAACTCAAAATTGCATGCAAGAAACTCTTGCAAGATTAAGCTGAAGATTGCTTAGCAAGCAATCTAGGGTTTAGAGATTCAGAGGATGAAAAGGAAGAGGCTCTCCCTTTTTGTTGAACTTGGTTGGCAAGACCGAAGAGCCATAGCATGGCATCAGGAAGACGGTGGACAACAGGTCCTGAACACGAACAGCGTTGTGAGTCAAAATCATATGCTGATCACAATAATGAAACGGTACAATGTTCGTGCATGTCAGTAACACAGTCCTAGCCAAGCCTAATCAACAGCTAGAGTTAGCAACTCCTAGCAGCTAGGCAACTCTATCCCAACAGCAAGACTACTGGAGAGCAGGGCCTGCTCTGCCTGCATTCACTGCTGCAACACCCCGGTTAGGACAGTAAGCAGCGATGTGACCATGGCCTCCACACTGGTGGCACGGGCCTCCAGCCCTAGGAGCAGCACCCCACTGAAACCCCCCTCCTCGACGGAAACCTCCGTGAAAACCTCCTCGAGGAAAGAAGCTCTGATTCCTGAAGAACTGACGAGGGGCCTGCTTCACAGTCTTCTTCGCCTTCTTGCTCTCTTTCTCCTTCTCTTCTTCCTTGACCTCTTTCTTGGCCTTCTTGAGACGTTTCTGAGACTCTTCATCAAGATGCAGGACCATGAGGCCTTCTTCCATCTTCTTTGCAACAGGCCAACCCTGAGTCTCTGCAATTTCCAGGTGCTGCAAGCGTTTCGAAGCAATGTCAATACCTTCGTCCAAGTACTCGGTCATCTTCGCCGCGTCATCCTGAGAAATGGAGTCAATCTCGCCATTGGCTAAGGCTTGGAGTGGTTGCTGAACAGCCTGCATTCTGAGAAGGGACTCCTCCATCGGGACGAACTGCTTCTTAATGCCTTCATTCTTGATTGCATCAGCACGTCTCTTGATTCCTGTGAGGCCAGAGCTAGATGACACAGCGTCATGCACAGAAGCTGAGACGGAAGCAGACAGCTCCTCCTTCATCCTTGCCAGCATAGTTTCTTGTGACTCAGCCAGGGCTTTCGCGAGGAAAGCTTTCATTTCCTCGAGACCATTTGTTGGAGTAGCTTCAGCGGAACCACCAGTGCCATCCTGGTTGCTCATGTTGGCCTTTGGAGAGGTTGGTTCGATCAGAACGCTGGACGCAAAAGCTTCTGCTGCGGCCAACTCCTCTGCGTTCATGCAGGAACGAGAGGATCAAGTTGAAGCTATCACGGAACGGCGAATGAAAGGAAAGAAAATGTGCTGGCAAAGCACAACGGTGACGAAAGAACCGTGAGGAAGGACAAATGCTAGGGATCATGCAAGGGGATCATGCACGAAGGGAAAAGGCGCTACTGAAGAGATGCGAACTGCTTGTGCTAAACTTCGGCAGAATGACGAAGACGAATGCACGCATTCGCTTAA